GAGATGAAACTAAAACCATGTACAATCTTTGGGGGGGGGGGGACTAGCAGATAAAAGTTCTGCTCCTGCATGCTGCGGATATGAGAATGCTTTATTTGCGTTCTGAAAAATCTCACGGTCTTGCAGATTAGCTAATGTAGTAGTCACCGCAGATGAAAGAACAACTAATTTTGCTTATGCAATTAAGTAGCACGGAGTAATGCTTCCATTTGAGCAATATAGCGAAGCAAAATTTTCTGGTGCGATTAAACGGCGATACTAAGGGGTGCCGGATTATCAGTCTACACTCCTTCTCGGTCTTCTACTTGCTCTTATTCTTCTTATTGCTATTTTTCCCTTTTCGGCTCCAAATTTACGATCTGCTCCAGGAGACCAGAAGGACATTCGAAGCTCGCCTCTTTAACTTGAAGATGGTCCGTGAGACAGGAGTTAAAATTTCGAAACTGGTCAATCATCTGATGAATTAGACTATTTGTCTTGTTTATAAATATACCGGTCTTTGTGCTGTTTTCAGTACTGCTCGCTAGTTATATGAAAGTCTTAAGAACAAGGTACTTCGTCAAAAGCTGAAACAGGTCCCCTTGTTATTTAGAACCGACACAAGTTGTTTATGCCTTCACCCATGTCACTAAAGGATAGCATCGTCAACTCTTTGCTGAAAGGTACTTTACCCCGAAATAACAGTCTCCTGTGATACGTCATCAATCAGAGAACATTGTGGTACCTACATGAGTATAGAGGTAGATTTTGAGTTTTCCCTAAAGAACATTGAGCAACTGTAGCTTTCAACAATTAGCAGCACTTGCAGGTGGATTCGATCGACAGGTAATACCAGTGGAGATCCATCTACTGATCAATCTAGAGCGCGGGGCTGATCGCTTTTCGGTTAAGAATGAATAACGATGCAGCTGTCCGACATTATCACATAGTTCAAGGCCGAGACTGGAAATTAATTAAACCTACTGTACGCCTGCAGAACCTATAAAGTAATTCGATCATATTTCATCACCAGTAACATCAAGTAACAAAACAGGCGATTGCGCTGCTATACATGGCTTGGGATTTTGAGTAATCGAATGAGTAAACCGGGACATAATTCAACAGGTGATTTCTAGGTGGCCAAAACTACAGTACAAGACAGTAATTACCCTATGGTAATGGTCCTGAGAGAGAAAGAACCCATACAAAAATTCTAAGGCCAAGTTGAAAGGGTCAACCAACGTATTGACTAACACCATTGAGCCATGCATCCTACCAGGCGGAGGCTTTGTTGATGACCTCACTAAAAATCATATCACAATAAGAAGCGTTATCAATGATGTGGAATTCGATTAAGTCATCTGTTTTCTATGCATGGATTTCATGCTATAGAAAATGGCCTGGATTCCTTAATGCCTACAGAAATAGACTAATCTTGTGTCCCAAGATCGAGAAGAAATTTGGTAGAGAGATCATAGTGGAATTGATCAAATGGCCCTCAGCAAGTTCAACATGGGAAGGTGAAAACTTTAAGGAAACAAAAGGCAGATTTATTGAATCGTTGGAGTTATGGTACTACAGACGACTATTATGGGTAAGGATCAAGACTCTTCCTCATGAAAAACTTAGAAGTGCTGCAGGTGCCGGCACTTGCAGGATGAGACCTGGATATCTGTGAGTGTAAAAAAGGCTTTATTTCTTTGAATCTCTTTAACTGAAGGAATAATGGGGAGACAATATCTAAATATAATATCAGCGAAGATCAGCACCCGAAATAGATTGTCGAACATTTACTCATTAAAAACAGGAAATTAAGAGATCAGAGGAGCACTGACTTCTAATTGTGCTTGTGTTTTCCTCATAAACGAGGGAAAGTCGTTCTGAAAGGATGAATAAAGCAGAATCTTGAATGTCTGATGACGATGGTATTGCAAATCTACATGTTAGCAGGAGGTTAACGGAGAGACTCTTCATCATTTCTGAATAGTTGCCTGATGAACTGAAAAAATGGGCTGATGTGTACACCGGTGAAATCATTAAGATCTTTTAAGGTCGAAATAAATGACATTAATTAAC